TATGTTGTGAAATGATTACCACAATCATGCTAATTAACATATCCATCACCTCACATAATTACCATTTTGTGTGTGAGTGGTGAGAACCCTTAAGATCGACTCTCTCAGCAAATTTAAAGCATATAATACATTTTTATTAACTATAGTCACCATGCTGTACAGAAGTTATTCATCTTATATTTTAAAGTTTGTACCCTTGGACCACATCACCACATTTCCCCCACCTCCACAGCCCCTGGTAACCACCATTCTACTCCCTGTTTCCATGAGTTCAACTTTTTTAGATTCCATGTATGAGATTATGCAGTATTTGTTTTTCTGTATCTAGCCTATTTCGCTTAGCACAATGTCCTCCAGTGTCATCTGTGTTGCTATAAATGGCAGGATTTCTTTCTTTTTTAAGGCTGAGTACTATTTCCGTGTGTATATACACCACATTGTCTTTTTCCCTTCATTCGTGACACATGCTTAGATTGTTTCCAGGTCTTGGTTATTGTGAATAATGGTGCAGTGAACATGGGAGTGCAGACATCTCTTCCTGATACTGTTTCATTTCCTTCACATATATACCCAGAATTGGGATTGCTGGATCATATGGTAGTTCTATTTTTAATTTTTTGAGGAACTTCCATACTGTTTTCCAGAGTGACTGTATCAATTTATATTCCTACCAACAGTGTACAACGGTTTTATTTTCTCCACATCCTGGCCAAGACTTGTTACCTTTTGAATGTTTGATAATAAGCATCTTAACTGGTGTGAGGTGATATCTCATTGTGGTTTTGATTTGCATATCTATCCCTGATGATTAATGTTGTTGAGCACCTTTTCATACCACTGTTGGCCATTTGTATGTCTTCTTTGGAAAAATGTCTATTCAGATCCTTTGCTCATTTTTTGATTGAGTTATTTGTTTTTTTGCTGTTGAGTTCTATGAGTTCCTTATATATTTGGATATTAGCCTCTTATTGGATGTGTGGTTTGCAAATATTTTCTACCATTCTGTAGGTTGCCTTTTCATTTTGTTGTTGGTTTCCTTTGCTATGCCTAGCTTTCTAATTTGATGTAGACCACCTATTTATTTTTGCTTTTGTTGTCTATGCTTTTGGTGTCATATCCAAAAAATCATTGCCAAGACCAATGTCAATAACCTTTTCCCCTATGTTTTCTTCTATTTGTTTTACAGTTTCAGAACTTACATTTAAGTCTTTACTCTAGTTTGAATTAAATTTTGTGTATAGCGTAAGATAATGGTCCAAATTTATCTTTTTTAAAGATTTTTATTTTTTCCTTTTTCTCCCCAAAGCCCCCCAGTACATAGTTGTATATTCTTCGTTGTGGGTCCTTCTAGTTGTGGCATGTGGGACGCTGCCTCAGCGTGGTTTGGTGAGCAGTGCCATGTCCGCGCCCAGGATTCGAACCAACGAAACACTGGGCCGCCTGCAGCGGAGCGCGCGAACTTAACCGCTCGGCCACGGGGCCAGCCCAGCAAATTTATCTTTTTTACATGAGTGTCCAGTTTTCCCAGCACCATTTATTGACGAGACTTTCCTTTCCCTATTGTGTGTTCTTGGTATTTGTGTCAAAGATTAGTTGACCATTTATGGGTGGTTTTATTTGGGGCCTTTCTCTTCTGTTCTATTGGTCTATGTGTCTGTCTTCATGCCAGTAGCATGCTGTTTTGATTATTATAGCTTTGTAATACAATTGGAAATCAGGAATTGTGATGCCTCTAGCTTTCTTCTTCTTTCTCAAGATTCTTTGGCTATTTGGGGTCTTTTGTGGTTCCATAAGAATTTTAGGATTGTTTGTTCTATTTCTGTGAAAAATACCACTGAAATTTTGATAAAGATTGCGATAGAATCTAGATCATTTGGGGTAGTGTGGACATTTTACCAATATTACTCTTCCAACCCATGAACAGACCTTTAGGGGTGTCCATGGGCTATTTGGGGGAATCCACATGTGAGGTGTCCCAAGCAGCTGGTGGGTAGATCTCGTGATGGACTCTGCCAATCAATTAGTAGGATCCTTGCACCTTTGTTGAGTTCCAAGCCCTGGTTGCTATGAGTCCTCGTCTCTCTTCCCTGCTCCCAGCCTTTCCCAAGCACTCAGCCATGCCACTTACCTCAGTATTCTGGGTGGGTGACAAAGAAATGGGCCTCTTAGGCAGCGTTCAGCATGACTGGGGAAGGCAGGTGCTCATTCACTACCTCTCACTTACCCCCATGGGAGAAATTTTGGGCCAAGGGGGTTTCTTTTGGCACTGAGCTGTGCCACCTTGGGGAAGTAGTGACATGGGTAAAGTGAAACTGTTCTTCTTACCCTCTTCAATCCATCTGTTCTCAGTTTTTTTTTGCTTCAGTGGTATACTGGAACTTCTTTGCTGGACTCTGGGACTTCCACAAAGATACTCTCATCCATGGGTGGAGATGATGGTAGAAAACTCCTGTTCTGCAGTCTTACCAACCCAACAGCTGAAATACAATTGATTTTTGTATATTGACTTGTATCTTGCAACTTTACTGAACTCATTTATTAGTTCTAATACATTTTTGGAAATTCCACTAGATCGTCTACATAGATAACTTGTCATCTGTAAGTAAAGTCAGTTTTTCTTCTTCCCTTCCAGTCTGGATGCCTCTTATTTCTTTTCTTGGCTTATTGTACTAGTTAGGAGCTCCAAAACATATTCAATATACGGTGAGAGTGAATATTCTTGACTTGTTTCTGATTTTGGAGGGAGAGCATTCAGTCTTTCATCAATAAGTATGATGCTAGCTGTAGGTTTTTCATGGATGCCTTTATTGGCTTGAGGTAATTTCCTTTGATTCCTAATTTTCTGAGAGATTTTTCCGGGGACACCCACCCCCTGCCTCCATGGCTCACAGAAAGCTCCAGGCAGAAACTCAATTCAGAAATAGGTTGTGAACAGTGGATGAGAAAGCTTGGCCTCCACCCTTTAGTACTGAGGTGAAGCCCAGAAACCTGCTCTTGGGCCCAAATAGAAGCAGCAAGTGGTCTATTCAGAAAGTTATCTTTCACAAAGTGTCTCCCAATGAAACACTGTTTGGAGAACACTAACAAGGTATGCTGGGAAGATGTTTCCAACTGCGCCTTTGTTAATTTTCAGATTTGGGACTTCCCAGGAAGCATTGACTCTTTTGATGGTACTCTGACATGATCTTCAGGGGAACATGAGCACTGATATTTGTTATTGACTCTCGGGAGGATAACATGGAAGCCCTGGCCAGGCTCCACCTCGTAGTCACCAGGGCCTACAAAGTAAACACCAGCATCAAATTTGAGGTGTTATTCACAAAGTAGATGGTCTGTCAGATGACCACAAAATTGAAATCCATAGAGATACTCACCAGAGAGCAAATAATGACGTTGCAGATGCTGAATTAGAAAAAAGCTCACCTCAGCTTTTATCTGACAACCATGTATGATTATTCAATATTTTAAGTTTTTAGCAAAGTGATTCAGAATTGATTCCATATCTCTCAACCCTGGAGAATTTGCTGAACATCTTTATGTCAAATTCTGGAGTTGATAAGGCATTTCTGTTTCACGTGGTCAGGAAAATTTATAATGCAACCGATAGTACCCAGCAAACCTATGAGCTCTGCTGTGATATGATAGATGTGTTATCGACATCTCTTGAATTTATGGTCTCAAAGAAGATGGAGCAGGAACTGCTAATGACAACAAATCAACAGCCATTATAAAGCTGAATATTACAACGGTTCTTTATTTAAAAGAAGTGACAATATTTCTGGCTCTTGTTGCTTTGTTGGAGATGAAAGCTTTGAAAGAAAAGGTCTTATTGATTATAATTTTCATTGCTTCTGGAAGGCCATCCATGATGTTTTTGAGGTAAGAATGAAAATGGTGAAATCTTGAAGAAAAAGGAGCCACCCCTAATGGGCCCCCAGAGTAGAGCTGTAGGTGAGGTTTCAGGAACATCCTTTGAGATCAGACATTTTTGATGAGGCTGCTGCCCTGTGTTGCGCTAAAGGAAGAGGAATAAAGAAATTAGGACCCATGACACAGATTTGTTGGGGGGAAAAAAAATCCTGCAACCCTCTTGCTTTCTTCTTTTTAGATAGAGTAAGCACTTTGCAGCAGAAACTTGTATATTAACAATGAAATGAAATTCACTGTAATTTCATTACACAAGTGTAAACTTTTATGGTCTGTAGTCAGAAAAATCTCATGTGACAACTGCCAGGAACTGTATATATTTTGCACTTTTTCATGTTTTTTTCTCACTGAACTAAACTTTAATAAAAAAACTTTTTCTAGGCTTTTTTCCGTATTGGTGTCAAGGACATGCATACTGTAGTCCATATTTGTATGGCAATCAGAAATTAAGCAAAAAGCAATTCACTGGCAATGACTTTTTGTTTGTTTGTTTTTTATTGAGGTCATAATAGTTTGTAACATTGTGAAATTTCAGTTGTACATTAGTCTTTTTCAGTATTAGTATATATGTGCCCCTTCACTCTTTGTGCCCACTCCCCAACCCCCTTCCCCTCTGGTAATCACTAAGCTGTTCTCTTTATCCATGTGTTTGTTTATCTTCCACATATGAGTGAAATCATATGGTGTTTGTCTTTCTCTGTCTGACTTATTTCACTTAACATAATACCCTCAAGGTCCATCCATGTTGTTGCAAATGGGACAATTTTGTCTTTTTTATGGCTGAATAGTATTCTATTGTATATATATGCCACATCTTCTTTATCCATTCATCAGTCGATGGGCGCTTGGGTTGCTTTCACTTCTTGGCTATTGTGAATAGTGCTGCAATGGACATAGGGGTGCATATGGCACTGTGGATTGTTGATTTCAAGTTGTTTGGGTAGATACCCAGTAGTGGGATAGCTGGATCATACGGTATTTCTATTTTTAGCTTTTTGAGGAATCTCCATGCTGTTTTCCATAGTGGCTGCACCAGTTTGCATTCCCACCAGCAGTGTATGAGGATTCCCTTTTCTCCACATCCTCTCCAACATTTGTTATTTTTTGTCTTGGTGATTGTAGCCATTCTAACGGGTGTAAGGTGATATCTTAGTGTAGTTTTGATTTGCAGGCAATAACTTTTTATAAATCGTTGGGAATCTTTGCTACAAACTGTTGGGAAGAATCATTTTTCAGTGGAGCTGGAAGAGATTAGGGTGGCAAGCTCCAGGAGCTGTAAGGTCTGGCCCCTGTGTGTAAGTGGTGTAAACAGAGGTTTTGTAGAGTAATATTAGCACCAAACTTATCTGAAAGTTTCTATAGCCGTGGCAGTGCTTCCACACTACACAGATTTTATGAAGCTTTTTACCTCAACATACATCTCTATATTCATTTTATATGAAGAGGTTCGTTCAATAAGAGGTAAGTTCAATAAGTTCGTTTGTTCGTTCAATAGGTTCGTTCTTTCTTTCTTCTTTCTTTTCTCCTCTTTTTTTGTGAGGAAGATTCTCCCTAAGCTAACATCTGTGCTGGTCTTCCCCTACTTTGTAGGTAGGACGCCTCCACAGCATGACTGATGAGTGGAGTAGGTCCGCACCCAGGATCTGAACCCACAAACCCCAGCTGCTGAAGCAGAGCATGCAGAAGTTTAACCACTCGGCCACAGGGCTGGCCCCTATAAAGAGAGGTTATTTCTTTTTGCTGCATTACTGTTCATTAGAACCTTTGGGACCAGGCTTCCAAAGTGATGCCTATCACTTGAGAGACATAAGAATGTCACTAAGTTTCAGGGTCTCTGGCGGATTTTCTGTAACTGCCACCCAGCCAAAGTAATATCAGAGGCCAAAGGATTTCCCCCTTACACATCTGTAAATAGAGAAATACAAATTAAACTATAATGAGATAGCATTCATCCCCTATCATATTGACGGAGACTAAGAGAAGGATAAAATGAAAATGCCTCCTACCACTACTATTATTTAACATTGTTTTGGGAATTATAAGCAATGCAATGAAATAAGGAACAGAAAATAGCAAAAAGGTATTAAAAAGAGGAGGCAAAACTGTCATTATTTGAAGAACTTTTTTTGGCCAGGAAAAGCAAAAGAAAAGAAAAAATAGAGTAAGGTAGATGCTTAAAAGTATAGTTAAATTGATGCTTTAAAAAGAAAGATACACAGGGGCCGGCCCGGTGGCACAGTGGTTAAGTGCGCACCTTCTGCTTCGGCGGCCCAGGGTTCACCAGTTTGGATCCTGGGTGCAGACATGGCACCTCTTGGCAAGTCATGCTGTGGTAGGCGTCCCACATATAAAGTAGAGGAAGATGGGTATGGATGTTAGCTCAGGGCCAGTCTTCCTCAGCAAAAAGAGGAGGATTGGCAGCAGTTAGCTCAGGGCTAATCTTCCTCAAAAAAAAAGAGAAAGAAAGATACACAAACATGAATTTTTCTATATAGCAGTGATCAATTATATCGTAACAATAAAAAATAAAATACCTAGGCACTAAAATAACAAGAAATGTGTAGGGTCTTTGTGGAAAAATTTAAATGTCTACTAAGGAATAGAAAAACTATAATTTAATGCCAACTTGTTCTCAGATAGGAAGAATCAGTTTTGTAAAGATAACTTCTCCCCTGATTAGAAAATGACTGAAGTATAATTCCAACAAAAACTTCAGCAAGATTTTTTTGACAGTGGCAAGTTGACAAAAGGATTTAGAAGTTCACCTGTAGGAATAAATTTGTGACTATTATGAAAATAGTCAGGAAGTTTGTGAAAAAGAAAAAATACTGAGTGATACTTCGCTTTTCTTCTGATTCCTTGCTAAAAGGAATATAAAGAAATGAATAGGGGCCAGCCCGGTGGCGTAGTGCTTAAGTTGGCGCTCTCTGCTTCTGTGGCCCGGGGTCTGCTGGTTCCGATCCCTGGCACAGACTTACACACCAGTCATCAAGCCATGTTGTGGCAGGCGTTCCACATATAAAATGGAGGAATATGGGCACAGATGTTAGCTCAGGGCCAATCTGCCTCAGCAAAAAGAGGAGGAGTGGTGGCGATGTTAGCTCAGGGACGACCTTCCTCAAAAAAAGAAAAGAAATGAATAAATCCCAAAGGACCAGCAGTGCAAGGAAGAGTTTGGGTGGAGGGAGCACAAGGCATGTATTATCTCCAGCATCATCAGCGGAATTATTTTAACCAGGACCATCAGGGACACTGAGAGCTTATGTAACACTATTTAGTACAGTACAAATAATATAGATATTATATAATAGCATTATACATTGTATAATGCATAGTCTACTTATTGTATATACTTTATTATACTTATTATATATACTTTATGTATTATATATAAATATATGCTGTATATTTAATACATCCCATATATATTTCCCAGAATTAAAGTAATATGAAATATTACTTATAAAATAAATATTGTGTATGCTTATTATATATACTTTATATATATAGTATATAATATAAATTTATGTATAATACATCCCATATGTATTTTCCAGAATTAAAGGCTACCAGTATCCAGATTGAAAGGATCCATCATGTACCCAGCACAGTGAATGAATGAAAAAGGATACACAACAAGGCATATTTTCATCAGATTCTAGTATATAAGGGAAAGAAACGATCAAAAGAGCCTCAGGGAGGAATGGGGGAAACATATTCTGAAAAAAAGTATGAGAATTAGAATAGCATTAGGCTCTTGATAACATAGGGTGGCCAGGTTCAGCAAATAAAAATATAGGACATTCAGTTACATTTGAGTTGAAGATGAATGAGTAGTTACTTAGGGTAAGTATATCCCAAATATTGCAAGGGATACTATTAGTGGATGTTGCTACATCCAAAAACACTCCCTGCAGGTGAAGGCCCATCTGGGAGGGCAGGGCTCTGTCCCCTGTTTGCTGCTGAAGGGCCTGGTGAGGCAGGGCTGCTGACAGACGTCCTGCCAGACTCAGCTTGGGGCATAGAACCAGCGGGAGCAGGGCTACACAAAAAACATCTCAGAGGAGCCGTACCGGCCAGAAGCAGTGGTCTCTGGGACAGCAGAGAGAGGGCCTGTGAGAGGTGGGAAGCCTCCCACCCTCCATGACCCCACCTGCAAATAGCTGGACGGGGACAAACCATGTCATTCAAAAATAAGTGTTCACGGGGCTGGCCAGTGGCCCAGCGGTTAAGTGCGCACATTCCACTTTGGTGGCTGGTGTTCGCTGGTTCGGACCCTGGGTGCGGACATGGCACCGCTTGTCATGCCATGCTGTGGTAGGCGTCCCACATATAAAGTAGAGGAAGATGGGCATGGATGTTAGCTCAGGGCCAGTCTTCCTCAGCAAAAAGAGGAGGATGGGCAGCAGATGTTAGCTCAGGGTAATCTTCCTAAAAAAAAAACCCCAAAAAACAAAAATAAGTATTCAAGAAAGACTATGGCACACCATGAGTACAAAGATTTTACAAGAAAAAAATGTGAAAAGAGCTGCAAACTTGATGAATGCATCAAAGACATTCACAGAAAAATGTTGTCATGGAACAGATGAAGATGCTGACCACACATTCCATCAATCTTAATGAAACTACCGTATCCATGTAGGAAGACCACAGAACATGCATGCAGGAACTCGTACATTAGTAAATTTTTCTTTGACACTTTTGCTGCATTAATTGTAGACTTAGAAAGTCCTTCCCCATCAGAGAACATAAAAATATTTATGTATTTTTTTTTCATCTGACCTCAATTTTTACTTTTTATTAATCTGGAATTCTTTATGGAATATGGTTTGAAGTAGGAATATAACTTAATTACTTTTCATTCACCAATTTTCTCAGTATCATTTTTTGGAAAGCTCCCTTTCCCTGCTTATTAAAGGTTCTACTTTAATCATATTCTAAATTCTTATGTATGTGAATACATAATATATGCATACACATACACATACATGTATATTAATTGCTTTCTGGGCACTCTATTCAGTTTCGTTAGTTTTCTTAATTTATAACTCATTTAGAACCAATATATGAAGCTGAATTGAAAAGAAAATGTGTCTTCTATTATCTGTAAAAATATCAACACATCTCAAAATACTTTAAGGAAGGACCATAGGAGTTCCAATTGAATAATACAGTTATGTTTTGCAAAGGCAAAAAAAATTATATTTAGTAGACAAAATTTATATTACCAAGTAGTTTTTGTTAGGAAATAACATATATCTTAGTAAGATTATCCTTTTTCAATGAAAATATTAACCTCCCTGGAAGTTGTGTATGTATCCTCTATAGCGTGGATGCTTAGCGTGGGTACTGTCTATATACCCTACATAGCATAGCTCTTTAGAAGACAAACAAGGCAGAGCCACACAGTCCAATTATAATGGTAATGGCTCAATATATAGGTAAAGAAGCCATCAGCCTAGAAAAGGATATTTCCCCTGGATTTTCTTTTTTTTTTTTTTTTAAGATTTTATTTTTCCCTTTTCTCCCAGAGCCCCCTGGTACATAGTTGTGTAGTTTTAGTTGTGGATCCTTCTAGTTGTGGCATGTGGGATGCCGCCTCAGCATGGCTTGATGAGTGGTGCCATGTCCGCGCCCAGGATTTGAACTGGCAAAACCCTGGGATGCTGAAGTGGAGCGCAGGAACTTAACCACTTGGCCACGGGGCCGGCCCCTCCCCTGGATTTTATACACTAATAAGAAATAATCAAATACTTTTTATGTTTTCAATGGGATTTATTTATATTTAAGTAAAAGTAGCAAATGTTAACATGTTATTTCCTTAGGAATATTTATTTTGTACAGCCACATTGTTATCAAGCAACATTTATGGAATGTTCCCTGGGTCCACAGTACTGAACTTTCTCACTATGATACGCATCTTCTTTTCCAAGTTTAAACATGACTTGTGCACCGAAGAAGCATGGCTTGGCATTACAGAGTTGTCACGCGTGACACCCTGACATCAGAGGAAAAGCCTCTTGATGAAGAATTTCTTATCTTTCATTCATTTACAAAGTATTTATCTTTTTGTGTGATTATCAAACCCATATGATTTTGTTTTCAAGTCTCCTTTCTTCTGATACTATGAAAACAAATCAGTCAAAACTAAACTAAACAGTGTAGCAATCCAACCAACCAGATACATAGGATGGTATATTTTATACAGGATGTTTTAGATGATATTGATGTTTTATGTTACACATCTGTATTTAATATACTTTGGGCAATAAAAAGAAGCATGTAAACAAACATAAAAAAGATTTTTCTGAAAGTTGATGCATTATTTTAACAGTCACAAAAACTTGGGTTTATTTCTTTTTCTTTTTTTTTTTTTTTTTAAAGATTTTTTTATTTTTTTTTTTCCTTTTTCTCCCCAAAGCCCCCCGGTACATAGTTGTGTATTCTTCGTTGTGGGTTCCTCTAGTTGTGGCATGTGGGACGCTGCCTCAGCGTGGTCTGACGAGCAGTGCCATGTCCGCGCCCAGGATTCGAACCGACGAAACACTGGGCCGCCTGCAGCGGAGCGCGCAAACTTAACCACTCGGCCACGGGGCCAGCCCCGGGTTTATTTCTTTTTCAAGTACAATGGAATAGTTTCATATTAAAACAAAAAGGTCTTGCTGCTCTCATTTTCTTCAGATTCCCATTTTATACATTTTTAGGTAACAGAATAATCCTGTAATTTTATTGCTAAAACACGATTACTTGGTTCGATATGATTATCTGATTTGAGGCTGACTTTGCTGCTCCCATGTTTCTGAACATGGATTATTTCACTGTTTACTTTTCCAAACATGTGCTTATGCTAAAGATCCAAAAACTAACATGAGGAGGCATGGTAATAACAAACATACAGTGACTGAGTTGGACAATGATGAATCGTAGGGGTTGAAGTTTCTGTTGCTATGATAAGGGCTCTGACTATTCTGTTAAGTTAGGTGTACAGAGAAGGATGGAAAATGCATATTTCCAAGAAACTATATTGCATGCTTATTTGGCTGCTAGAAATTCTCTGGTTTGATGCTTCACTGGTATTTAGGGTGGAATCTACATGCAGCTTCTTCAGCAAGCTGGTTGCTCCATCAGAGGAGCCCGTGGATGTTACCGATCTCTCTCAGCCTGCCGCTATGTCCCGTTGTGCTGACTGCCAGCACGCTTGCAGATTCTCCAGCAAAATCCAATGTTAGCTTTAGAACTGCAGATGCTTTGTTTCAGGCACCTATAACACCTATAAAAAGCAAATTTCAAAAAACAGAGCAAATTTACATTAGAGTTCTTAGAGCATTTTTAACAGTTGTCCAAGTTAGTTATTTTGTGTTGACAACAAATTTTGGCTTGAAAATACAAATTGCTGATAAGAACTATTACTATTGAGATGACTTAGGAAATATTTTATTATCTATTCAGAGGAATTCCAGCATAGATAGTTAAAATATTTAACATATATTTTTACCTCAAATGACTTTAGAAAACTTCTTAATGAGATAAAATTTCAAACACACAAAGTAAAATGAACCATCCCCACATACCAGTCAACTGTCTTAAAAAATTATCAACAATTCTGTTTGTCATTCTTCAGTAACATTTGTTGATTGTTTAAATAGAAAGTTTCTCAAATCTGCTTTACCTCTTTCAAAAGAAAAAAATGAAATGAACTAGGTGAGAGGTAGAATTACTGGGAAGCTAATGAAGCTTAGTTGCGTGGGTACCTGCCAAAAAAAGGGGCCCTAGCAATATCTTCACATGGTTACATTTTTTTGTTAAATTTGCCAAAATTAGCTATTTCAACCATAATTGGTTAAGACTACTGTCTCCATTTCAACTGCTCCTCAGTCATATTTTATCCTCTGATTGTAACCTTGGAGTGGCAGTGGAATTTCTGAGATTTTGTTAAGGATTGACTGGCATATATTTTGTGCTTTGCAATCCCTTCCATGTATAGTTACATTGTTGCTGGCCATTCCAGTTTACAGTGTCTTCCAGGAGTACTATGAATATAGTCAATGCAAAGAATAGTTAAGAGCACTCACTCCACAGAAAACTTGAAATTCCCTGAAATCTTATAGCTCAGATAACAAAGAAACTCAATACAGGTTTACCCAAATTCACAACGGCCCTAAAAATTACATTGCTAATAAAGATTTGAGAATTTGAAAGAAACCTCTATAAACTGTCAAGAAAAAAAAAAAAAAAAAAAGCTGGGGCCAGCCCCGTGGCCAAGTGGTTAAGTTCGTGCGCTCCGTTTTGGCGGCCCAGGGTTTTGCCGGTTGGGATCCTGGGCGTGGACATGGCACCACTCATCAGGCCATGCTGAGGCAGCATCCCACATGCCACAACTAGAAGGACCTAGAACTAAAAGTATACCACTTTCTACTGGGGGCAGGGATTTGGGGAGAAAAAGCAAAAGAAAAAGAGATTGGCAAGTTGTTAGCTCAGGTGCCAATCTTTAAAAAAAAAAAAAAAAGAAGATACGCATTGTCATTGGTACAGTGAGTTAAAAAAAAAAAGCAAATTTTCATCAACTATGCTAGAAGATAGTCTAAATTACTTTCCCATTCTTTCTATAGAAAAGGCTGTTACAAAATCATTGTCAAATGAAGAGGCAATCAACATGTATGCAACCAAAAAAGGTAGGATAAAAGTATTATAGAGCTGTTGATAAAAATGTTTTGTAATTTTCCCTACATTATGTGATATTTGAGAAATTTGTTAACTTTTAAACACTACACAGTTTTCATAATTTATTTGTTATAAATTAATATACAGAGTTGTAACTGATTGCGTATTCATAATTTTGTGTTTCTTTTCCTAAAGAGAGTTTCCCAAATTCCATTAAGCTCCAGGTTCCATACATCCTGGATCCATTCCTGAGGTAGATTGTACTATTATCCCTGTTTAGATTAAAGTCAGAGAGGTCAAGTGACTTTCCAAAGGGGACACATTTATTAAGAGGTGAAACAGGCTTCAAAAACAGACTTTCTGACCCTAAAACATTTAATTTTATGTGTCAACTTGGCTAGGCTATGGTACTCAGTTGTTTGGCAAACACCAGTGTAGATGTTGCTGTGAAGGTATTTTTTAGACGAGATTAACATTTAAATCAGCAGATTTACAGTAAAGCAGATTACTCTCCATAATGTGGGTGAGTCTCACCCAATCAGTTGAAGGCCTTAAGAGAAAAGACTGAAGTCTTCTGAGGAAGGAGGAATTCTGCCTCCAGTCTTTGTACTCAAGACTGCAACACCACCTCTTCCGTGGGTCTTCAGCCTGCTGGCCTGCCCTGCAGATTTCAGACTTCTCAGTCCCCACAGTTGTGTGTGCCAATTCCTTAAAATAAATCTCTCTCTGTACATCCTATTTGTTCTGTTTCTCTGGAGAACCAATGACTAATGCAATAAGAAATACAGAGAACTATATGCTAGTACTGGCTGTCTGCTAGTTAGTAGTCATATGACCTTGGCAATTCACTTCACTTCTTTAGGCTTTAGTTTCATTATCTCCAAAGTAAAGAAATCATTTTAGACCAAGATTTCTCAACCTTGGCACAAGTGCCATTTTGGGTTGGGTAATTCTTTGTTGTGGGGGGCTGTCCTATGCATTGTAGGGTGTCTTGCAGCGTCCCTGGCTTCTGTCCACTAGATACCAGGAGTATCACACAGTTGTGACAACCAACAATATCTCCAGACACTTTCAAATGTTCCCCACTTGAGGGGCAGGGGACAAAGTCCCTCCCACCCTGTTTGAGCGCTCTGAATTAGATCATCTTTAATGTAATATATGCATATGTAATGCTATAGCAGAGATTATATACTGAGGCAGCTTTGGAAATTTCAGGAGAAGCCTGTTTGACCACGTAGCAGGGTGTCATGGAGGTGATGTTCTAGGATTCTGTAATTCTTATAAATAAAACTTTCTTTGGCTAGTATAAGAAAAAAGCAAAATATGGAGAAAGGTCAGAAAGATTGGCAACATGGCACTCCTGGCAAAGTGCAAGCTGCAGGCAACCTGAGGGCAGTCACAGCAGTGAGAGACGATAGGTGAGAAAGGGGGAAGGATGGAATTGAGCGCTTATCCTTACAGAAATGAGTCTTGGCTGGGAAATGATTGTCCTGTCAAATCCAACCCACTAGGGGCAACCTTGAGTTTAGTACTGGGTGGAAGGCACAGTCAGCCACAGGGCCCTTGGGTGGGGGTGGCTAGGCTTCCCGGATGTATAGGAATTCGTAGGCGTCTCCATGATTTTGCAGTACATATTGCCTTGCTAATAGTAATGCGAGGAAAGTTATTTTTCCAAAGAATACTCTCGCGGGCGGAGTGAGGAAGGGGTATGGTTTGCCTGAGTAAGTGTAGTCATCTTAGGCTCCTGTTAAACGACCAAGAAGAGAAAAGTGGAGCAGCATTCCACTAGGTGGCGCTGTATCTGACTAATTCATCAAGCATGGCTAAATCCGGTTTTATGTGACCCTGTCTTTCCCAGCATATTTTCTCAGTCCTTTTGAAATAATCTGCATTTAGCCATACTTCAAATGAAAAATACCTGCCAATTAAATTTTTTTTCCATTCTAGTGTTAATCTCTACTTCTGATTCAAAATATATTTCTATTCAGTGCAACTTGGCAACAAAGCAAAGCTCAGGCCCAGAAGGCAGCAGAACAGATTGGATTCATAGCAAAAGATTTGTTCCTTTTTTCAATTTTAATTAATGCCATAGCCAGGTGATTTAATAACACTACTACTGGCAAGTACATGCAAAACTGATATAAAAACCTCTTACTTTAATATCTTCAACACTCTGCTGACTGATATGGCCAAAGATGAGTTTTGTGCCTACCCCTGGCAGTATGAGATATTAAAAAGGCAGGAGTTAGGGTATTAAAATGATTTTCAGAGCTCTGACATACAATAATGTGCTCCCAAAGACAGCCCTATGACTTGGAGGGCTGGATTCCTGGCATTTAGGAAGGGACCTTGGCCATCCTACACCAGGATAACTGGGTAACCTCATGTCAAAATGACAAGTTCTAAGGGCTCATTTAAGCAAAATTTTCTCCCAAGCGGGAAGATGTGAGATTCACAACCTACTGAAATTTTTAATCACTTTAATCACAAAAATCCTTATCTTTTATAAAAATCTTCGAGTCAGTCTACCAGCATGTATGAGCTAAGGCAAATAATCCCCTTGCAGTTGTTATAAGTTGTTGGGTTTTTTTAGGGAAGAGAGACTATTGTTGCCTCTCACTGACCTAGCCTTAGTTGTACAGCAACATAGTAAGGAACCCTCAAGGAGGATGGGGTCATAGTCAGCAATGGGTGGGGCAATCACTGCATTCACGCAGTTCCACATCCATTTAAAACACGGTCAGAAGAAAGAGAGAAGTAAAGTGGTCTCAGAGGTGGCTAGAGTTAGGCACAGAGCAGGCAAAGTGGAAGTCAAAGATAAAAGTAAAGAAAGTGGGGGAGAAACCTGCCCTTATGTGTTTACCATATACCTCTTATCAATTTAAAATATTAATAACACCAATAATGCATATTTTTCACATATTTTGCATCAAAATAATGGAGAAGAAGGGTGGGCACAGGTGAAATGGCCAGAACATTGGGTTGCTAAAGCACGCACAAAATTCCACTGCACAATTCTGCCCAGGGAGGCCCTGACTGTCCAGTGATTTCCTTCAGAACTCACTAAAAACAAAGAATTCCCCTTCTTAGTACAATGGAAACATCTTGGTAAAAATCCTTATCAAACAAAGCAAACTATAACAGCTGATTTAAAGACTTAAAGACAGTGAGAAGCAGAATGGAGGATGGTGGAGGAGACCCTCAATACCTCCAGCCAGCACTTAGCATACAGGTCAAAGCCGTTTAGAGTTGTAAGTTCAGTCCCATTGACGCACCTCAGAGATTTCCCAAGGGTCTGCATCTCCCTTGTTCTAGAGAAACACTTGTAAATTGTCCTGTGTCCCTCCTTTGGCTCCTTTCTACCTCCACCCACAAGTTAACTAATGTTCTATAAAGAAAAAAAGTTCCTCTGGAAAACACTACATCCTGTAACCCCTCCCGAGAGACTTCTTTTGTGCTTGGTTATCAAAATATCTGAGAGGTTCTGGGAAAGGAAAATCTGTGCAAATGAACTCAGTATTTCCCAAATTTACATCCCCTTCCGGTCCCACTGTCACCCTCAGGAACACCTATTAGCATTTCATAGGACATTAGTAGTCTCTCGCAGAGTGTTCAGAAAATGCTATTCCAAGGATAGAAGTATTACATCTCCTTGCCACCTTGAAAGGATTGTGAAGATTTAAAGGACTTACCAAAAGGATCTACTTAATATCCTGAGAGTTCAGATTTTTGCTTAAATTTGGCTTCTTGGTACAGTTGTTCAGCTTTTGCCCTATCATTCTTCTAATTGAAACATCATCTGTGTTGGGAAATAATTGCTTTGTGACTCCTGTAAAAACAACAATAACACATGAAACATTTTATGAGGCCTCTGCATCTGAAGGTATGAACTGAGATAAAGCGTCAAACAATCTACATTATAATTTTGTCTCCATTTTGCAAGAGCAGCCCAAACACCCATGATATATTTACATTGATGAATATATAGGTAGATTTTTCAAAGCAAAGCTAGAGATAATGAAGATCTATATTATAAGCCGAGAGCGTACATATTTGTCTTTCTGTGGTACCACTCAGCTTGAACCTTGCTACTTGCTCTGAACTCTTCTTGCTCTTTGGAGCAAGTCCCCTTGCTCCAAAATGTTAGGAATTTATTTTTATCCATTCTCAACATCAGTCAAAAAATCTAGATTTGGATTGACCCTTTTCCAACTAAGGAAATGACATACTACTGACATAGAGAGAGCTGAGATTCAGGGACTCTCTAAATTTGCTGGATATTTGCAAAAAATAAAAATTATTTTATTATCTAGATTATTATATTTAAGGAGATTCATTAACTTAAAAACCATAAATAGGATGCTCAAATTAACCTCTCTTTTTCTAGAATAAAAGATAAGGGATATAAGCAAGATAAGAAAGAGAAAATAAGATATAAACTCTTTCTGAAATTTTGTTTCAAAGGATTTTCAAAATTTACTTTTCTACAGCTATGAATTCAAACTTTTCAGTGATGTAAAATTTGGTTTTATTTTAACAACCACTTTTAATGTAGAGTTTTTCTACAAAATTTTCCATATTTAATAAGAGGTTTGTACCTCATATTTAATAAGAGATTTCTCTTTCACTGGAAAGTAATCTTGAAAAAAATAAAGATGGTGAAAGGATAACTTAACCTTGAAGGGTAAAATAATTTCAAATTCATGTGACGATATAACGCAATCATGTTCGCACCTATGATTTCTTGAACTTCATTCTGATTCATAGCTGGTTTGACGGCTTTGTCCCTTGAAGTAGAGGATTTTGCCCCCGTCAGGCTGTGGGTGGCCATGTATTCATTTGTGTAAAGCACTTGCATTAAATCATTGATAAACTTCTGAGGCTTGCTCTTGTTACAACGGGCTATCTGCCATTTTTCAATCTTGAACTAAAAAAAAAAAAAATTGAAATTAGAAAAAGAAAAGTACTATCTGGAGAAATATATTACTAATTGAGTGAAGACATATCAGAAAACAAAACCAAAATTTTTTAAGGGGATGTATTATACTTTTGATATATATTTTACATATCAGAGGTTAGAGTCAACTATTATCTTTGAGATAATTCCTAATATTTGTGAGGTATTCCAGAGTATATACAAATTCTTGTCATGAAGTCTGGATTTGGTGCTTTAAGGATTAGTTCCATCCTCAATGCTTCCTGCTCAGTGTGGAGGTAGAATCATGGCTCTCTGAAAATTCCACATCCTCATGCCTGGAACGTGTGAATATGTTACCTTCTATGGCAAAAACAACCATGTAGGTGTGGTTAAGAGTTAAGTAACTGAGATGGGGTGAGTGTCTTGGATTATCCAGGTGGGCCCCATCTAATCACAGAAGCCCTTACATGTAGAAGAGGCAGGCAGAGGAGTGCGTCAGAGAAAGGACACAAGGAGGAGGACAGATTCCAAGAGGGAGCGGCACTTTGCCTGACACAGCTGGCTTTGAAGATGGCAGAAGTGGGCCACAAACCAAGGAATGCAGTTGCCTTGAGAAGCAGGAATGGCCTTCAGTTTACAATCAGCAAGAAAACAGGGAATTCAGGGGCTGGCCCCGTGGCCGAGTGGTTGGGTTCGCGCGCTCCGCTGCAGGCGGCCCAGTGTTTCGTTGGTTCGAATCCTGGGCGCGGACATGACACTGCTCATCAAACCACGCTGAGGCAGCGTCCCACATGCCACAACTAGAAGGACCCACAACGAAGAATATACAACTATGTACTGGGGGGCTTTGGGGAGAAAAAGGAAAAATAAAATCTTTAAAAAAAAAAGAAAAAAGAAAACAGGGAATTCAGTTCTACGACCACAAGAAATTGAATTCCACAACAACCCAAATGAGGAGGAAACTGTTTCTTCCAGAAAGCCTCCAGGAAGGAGGGCACCTGCCGACACGTTTGTTTCACCACAGTTCTGACCCACAGAACTCTGAGATAGTAAACCTGTATTATGTTAAGTCACTAAGTTTGTGCTAATCTGTTACACAGCAAAAGGGAACAGATACACTGAGATTCAAATATTCTGAATGTTAGATTGTTAGTATTTAATTATTGCTCTTGAAGGCATATTTTCCGAGGCTGATACCTGATTCTAACAAAACTCTTGTCTTTTTAGCTTCTGTTTCCTGATTAAGAGAAATTGGGAAAGTAGAAAAAGAATCGTGTTCAGCCAGCACACAGGGGCTGAAATTTACTTTCTCTCAGTGATATAATTTTATAACCTTTAATGCATAGTTATCTTTCTGTCACTGGTTGAAGAATTTTCTAGCTTAATAACTTCATCATTGTCCACAATTTGACTTTAGTTTTCTAAACTGGATATTTGTTTTACAAATATTAGGTTTATTGTGAAAAAAAATATTGTTTTAGGCAATTGGAATGTTATGGTTGTGACCTAAAGTTTCCTAAAGTTATCTGATAAAACAATGATCATCTTGTACTCTTATTTTAATTTTTGTATTTAACTCTATCTGAGAGAAAGATAGGGCAAGTATTTCAACTGACCTGTTTCTCATCGATGTGATGCTCTTCCTCAGCTTTCAAGGAAATTGGCGAACTGGAGTTAGAATTAGAATTACTGCACGTTGAGGCAAAGGAATCTGGTGAGGAGTTGTTTGTGGCTCTCCAGAGGGTGGACGCAGACGTTGACATGGTTCCTCCACCTTTAAGCAGGGCCTCCGCCATGCCAACCAATTCCTCAAACTGGGTGACTGCCTGGGGTAACACTAAAATGGCAAGAAAAAGTAACACTTTACAAATACTTTTGATAACAAGCGCATACATACGTCTTTTTAATTGTGTGTATACGCATGGAAATATGTGGAACAAATTGCTAACATTTGCTACCTTTGGAAAATAAACATGGTAAGAAGAGCGGTTGGAACATATTTACTTTTTATTATTAAATAATCGCTTAATAATAATAAAACAATTTAAAAACATTTGGTTATTGTATTTAAATGGGTATGCATTACTTTGTAACTAAAATGAATGTTTTAAAAAGTTGCTTCTTTTTTCTAATTGCTAATAGTATTATTTGAAAGCGTTTAATCTCTTGTTTGGAGACATTACTGATTCCAGGATCAATCACCTTCCAGACACTCACATTAGGCCAGTTTAAGCGACAAGATAAAATAAACCATTTCTCACAGGTTAACATAAATTTTCTATGACCTTTGTGTGTGGTTTGCCAGGGAGTCAAATTCCATTGAATTAATAAAAATTCATTGCCACAATTCAAACCTATGTTCTCACATATTAAAGATGAATTTTGGTAATCAGCCAAATGTTCTCTTGGTTCCTTTTTCTTAATGGAAACTTACACAGTCAAAGGTTTCATGCCTCCATGTAAAATGGTCTTCTCTGTTGTTATATCTAGTTTGTTTCCTGAGGACAAATAACATTTTGTTGGAGTTGGAAGACACCTTGGACCCTGTCTAATTCAACTCCTCACTCTACAGTTGAAGGGACTCTTTGCTGGAGAGGTAAAAAGACTCTGAAACTTTTTTTGTACTTTTCTTAGGCATATTATTAAGCTATTATCTTTAGAATAATATTTCATTTGAGAGCTGAAAATCAGGAATATTGATGACACGTCTAAATCAATACATCTGGTACTATATTAATAGAAAAATAGGAAAATCTACTAAAGAAGAAAATCTTATTTTATATTCTTTCAATTAATATTTACTAAGCACCTCTCGTTGCCAGACACTCATTCAATCAGCAATTATTTATTGAGCATTTAATAATAGTAAACATTTATCTACCTTTTACTCTGTGTCAGGCACTATTCTGAGCACTTTACTGATGACCATTCATTTAATCCTCCCTGCACTCGCTGAGATAGGTTTGATCATCGTCCCCAATTTACAGATGAGGATGGTTAGGCAGTGAGAGGTTAAATAACCTGTTCAGGGTCAACCTAGTCAGTGAAAAGAAGAGTTCAGATTCAAATTCAGACTCTGCCAATTCTCTGCTATAAACTACTATGTTATACAGACTCTCAGCATTTGCCACCCACCATGTTAGGTGCTAGGAATGAGATGGGGAGCAAAACGAGATGTGATCCAAGCCCTTTGGAACTGGGAGGGGTGGGGGGCATTATTTACATAACCATGTCATGTAGCAAGAATTTGATCTGCTCAAAGAGGGGTTGCCTCCCACCCCTATCCCTGACCCCTCCAGTTCCTGGAAAGTAACCTCTAAACCCTTGGAATTTCCCAAGTGAAAGGAGGAGTGTCTTTGTTATTCATGGTGAGCCCCTCAGACCACTCCTGATAGTTTATGCTAAGGAGTTTCTCAGAGTAGGAACAATCATACCCAGCAGTCTTAAGATAGAAGCTGGCCACAGCCAGAAAGCCAGAAAGATTTGGAAATTGACTTCAACCACACAGACAATCAACAAATCAATCATGCCTATGTAATGAACCCTCAATAAAAACTTTGGACACTGGTGCTCAGGTGAGCTTCCTGGATGGACAATACTCGGTGCATACTGTAACACATAAATGCTAGGGGGGTAAGGCATCCGGAGGACAACAGAAGCTTCATATTTGGGAACTGCCCAGACTCTGCCCTATGTATCTCTCCAACTTTGGCTGGTTCTAATTTGTATTCTTTCCTTGTAATAAATGTAACCATGAGTATAAGAGGTTTCAAAGACTTGTGAGTTTCTCTAGCAGTATTGAGGCTTAGGGTGGTTTTGGAAAACCCCTGAACTGGCAGTTGGAGCCAGAAGTCTTGGGGAGACTCCGCAGTCTAGAGGACAGTGCCCTAAACCTTGCAGTGGGGCTACCTCAAGGGACATGCGAAGAAATGAAAAATTACGATTGTTAAGTGCCACAAAGGAGAGGCTGGAGGGGAAGGGGGCACAGAGGGCTTCTCTGGGGAGGTCAAGATTGATCTGAGAGCTGAAGGCTGAGCAGGAACTAAACAGCTGGAGGGAATGAGGAGGTCATCACAGGCATAGGAAACACAAGTTCTGTATTTGAGGAATTGCAAGAAGGCCAAAGCTAGGATGTAAAGAGAAAAAGAGAGTTTGTATAAAGTGAGGTATCAAGAATATTTACTGTTTTTTCTAATACTGAAAGTTATACATGTTCACTGGAATATATCCTTCTTGTTATTTCTATCTGTGTATCTTATCTATATTTGTGTATTTTCTTTTACATTTTTAGGACCATACTATATACATAGCATTGTATCATGGTTCTTTTTTTCCAGTTAAGACTGTAAACTGAGTATTTTGTCTATTTTATTAAATCTTCTTGGAAAATGTGATCTTTTGAGGTCTGATTTACATAGTCAAAGGCTAGATCTTATATGAAGTCTGAGCAGAAATTAAGTAGGTAAGGGACATGAGTTTGACAAAAGGAATCCCCACTTAACACACACCCATCAAGATATAGAACATTTCCAGGGCCGGCCTGGTGGCACAGTAGTTAAGTTCGCACGTTCCAGTTAGGTGGCCCAGGGATTGCTGGTTTGGATCCCGGGTGCGGACTTACACACTGCTTGTCAAGCCATTCTGTGGCAGGTGTCCCACATATAAAACAGAGGAAGATGGGCACAGATGTTAGCTCAGGGCCAGTCTTCCTCAGCAAAAAGAGAAGGATTGGTGGCAGACGTTGGGTCAGGGTTAATCTTCCTCAAAAAAAAAAAAAAAGAAGAAGATATAGAACTTTTCCATCCTCCCAGAAAGTTGCCTCATGTTCCTACTAAATCAATCCCTGGATTTATCTCAGAGGCAACCACTAATCTGACTTCTTTAGCCAGAGATGTTTGACCTGTTCTAGAATTCCATTTAAATGGACTCAAACAGTATATTCTCCTTTTTTTGGTCTGATTTTTTTTTTTTGCTCTGCATAATGTTTTGAGATTCATTTATGTTGATGTGTGTATCAGTTACCCATTCCTTTTTGTTGATGAATAATATTTCATTATATGGATACTCCACAATTACAGTATCCATTTACCTGTTGATGGGGTATCTTCCACCTGAAAGCATGACTTTAATGGTTCCCTAATAGTCCAAGGTATTGATGTTCTATAATTTATTTGAATGTTCCTTTTTTCCCTTTTGGAATTTAGGTTGCTTCCAGTTTTTATTACAAACAAAACTCTTATGAACTGCCTAGGACATATCTGTTCATATGCATCTCTGATCATGTCAATGCTGTAAATTCCTGAAAGCATAATAATAGGTTCAAAGGTATAAATGTTTTCAAGACTCAATTAATATTGCTGAGAATTCTTCTCTAGAAAGATTCTTCCAACTTAACATGCCCACTGGCAATGTAAGAAGTCAGTCATTTCACTGCACCGTCAACAATAGGTGTTAATCATTAACACAGATCTTCACTACTTTGATAGGTTAAAATCTTAGTGCAATTTAAATTGCAATTATTTGATTATTGTCAAGTTAAATATATATCTATTGACTATTTGAACTTCTTTCATGAATTATCCATTAGAACATGGAATATTAGTACTTTTTCTGTTTTATAATAAATGGTTTTTGTAAAGTGCTTATTAGAGTGCCTAGTGCATTATATGCACAATGTGTTACCTATTATTATTAACTCCCTTATATACTAAGCATTTTAATCTTGTATTTGTCGTAAGTTGTATTTTTCTTAGAGTATCTTTTAATTTTATGATACTTTTAAAGCATACACACATTTTTAGTTTTTATTTTAAAGTGGCAGTCTTTTCTTTAGTATATTACTCATTTTTTCTATGTTTAGAATGTCATTAACCATTCAGATCAGCTAAATATTCACTCATATATTTTGTATGGTTTAAACATCTTTTTATGAGTAACCTTTTTTCCTGCCTGGATATATGTTTTCTAACTTTTAATGGAAAATCTTAAACACAAACAAAAATAGTAAACTTCCATATACCCTATCCCCCAGTTTCAACTCACGATCAATCTTTTTTTTTTTTTTTGGCTGAGGAAGATTTGCCCTGAGCTAACATCTGTTGCCAATCTTCCTCTTTCTTTTGCTTGAAGACAATTCGCCCTGAGCTAACATCTGTGCCAGTCCTCCTCTGTTTTGTATGTAGTCACCACCACAGCATGGCCACTGACAAGTGGTAGAGGTTGTGCCCAGGAACCGAACCCTGGGTGGCCAAAGCAGAGCAGGCCAAACTTAACTTCTAGGCCACGAGGCTGGCCCCATCTCATGGCAAATCTTGTTCCACCAATATCCCCACCCACTTTCTTCCTACCCCCAAGACTACTTCAAGCAAATCACAGGAATCATCTCATTTAGTCTGTAAATATTTCTTATGTGTCTCTAAAAGTAAGACATTTAAAAAATATAACCATAACACCATTGTCATAGCCAGAAATACCTAACAATAGTTCTTTAATGTCGTTAAAAATAAAACCTAGTAAATGTTCAAATTTCTGATTGTCTCATTGCTGTTATTTTTGTTTGTTTGAATCAGGATCCAAATGCGGTCCATACATTAGAATTGGTTGCTGTCTCTTTCACACAAGCTCTAGGCTTCCTCTCCCTCTCCTCGTTTTTTCCTTGCAATGTGCTAGTTGAAGAAACTGAGTCGTTTGCCCTGCAGGATCTTCCATAGCCTGGATTTTGCTGACTGCATCCCTAAAGTGATGCTTAACAGATTCTTCTGTTCCCTGTATTTGCTGTAAATTGGCAGTTAGAGCTAAAGGCTTGATCAGATTTAGGTCATGTTTTAACATCCATCAGGTGGCATTTAATGCATAGTTAGCTTTTTCTGTGATATTAGTGGTCACTGATGATCATGCTTAGATTCAACATATCATAATGGATTGCAAATGGTGATATTTTAATTATTTTCTTCTTCATTTATTAGGTAGAATTCTTCTACAAAGGAAAACTTCCTCTCGTTAACTATAGGGTTACTATGAGTTTCATTTCATCTAAGAATGGCAGGATAAACACATGATTTTTTGGTTTGTATTTGCCAGTTTTCAAAATAATGAGTTGGTTCTTTCAGATGGCCATTAAGTTTTTTCTTTTTTGAATACCATTATGAACTCATGCGTTTAAATATGTATGATAGGGGCTGGCTCCGTGGCTGAGTGGTTAAGTTCGCACGCTCCGCTGCGGCGGCCCGGGGTTCGGATCCTGGACGAAGACATGGCACCGCTCCTCAGGCCACATTGAGGTGGTGTCCCACATCCCACAACTAGAAGGACCTGCAACTAACATATACAACTGTGTACAGGGGGGGTTTGGGGAAATAAAGCAGGAGAAAAAAAAAAAAGATTGGTGGCAGTTGTTAGCCCAGGTGCCAATCTTTAAAAAAAAAAGGAAGATTGGCAACAAGTTGTTAGCCCAGGTGCTAATCTTTAAAAAAAAAAAAAAGTATGATAATCTATTGCAGTTATCATTCTTATTGATGCTCAAATTGGCCCATCTTTGCCCAGTGGGAACCTCTTCTAGTTGACATGTCCATATAGTCTTTGATAACTTCCTTGCTTTCTGGTAAGACAAGATTTTCATCTATATTTCCTGTTCAAGCCTCCTGAGAAGGCTCACCTTGCACATTTTCTATGCAAATTCTGGAATCAGCCATTTCTGCAAGGAACCCTAGCTCCTTTCAGTGGGAAATAGTCTTACAAGACCATATCCAGGAGCTAGGAGTGCTCTTTGCTATTGGGTTCTTGTTTCTAGGCCTATTCAGTGAACAGTATTAGAAAATATATATTATAAATTTTTAAAGATAAAATTCATCATACATTTAAGCCAGTACTTCCCATTCAAATTCAGAACATGGAGTTTTTATTTAAACTGTATCATTATGTTTGTAGTGTGCCACATGGGGTGAAATGAGAACCTCACATGAACATTCCTCCCCTGGAATATCAGTTTTCTCAGTGCCATTTGTTGAATAATTCATGTTTTTCCTGATTGACTTGCAGGACTTGCTACCCAAATTGCCAGGTCCATTGCAAAGTGAAAATGCAGGACTCTTGTTCAAAACTTCTTAAGAATTTTAATATGATGACAGCAGAGCCTTTAACCAGTATGTGGGGCCTTTTCTAGGAGCAGGGCCCTGTGTGACTGTGCAGGTCACACACCCGTGAAGTTGGCCCTGGTGACTTGTGACAGTGACACCATAATAGCAACTACTTATATTGCACTTGCTATTGCCAGGCTGTTCTGAATGCTTTACATGTCACCCAGCTAAGTACTTTTATTATTTCCTTTTAGAGATGAGGAAATTGAGGCACAGATTGGTTAAACAACGTGCACAAGGTTACACAGTGAGTAGGTGGCAGAGCTGGGGTTTGAACCGTGGTTCGGCCTCTCTCAATCCATTCTCCTTACCTCTCCACCCTAGTCCCTCTAGGGTGGTTTCCTGATCGTACGTGAGATTCCGTTTTGGGGATATGCATTTTGTTCCACTGATCTGCTGATTCATGCACTAGCAAGTTGCCTTTAATGGAAATTTATGTGATTTAGTGTTGACACGTTATGACTGCATATTTTTTTCCCAGAATGTTTTAATTGATTTTACCTATTTATTCTTTCAGGTTAATTTTAGAACAGTTATTGTCAAATTACCAAAACAAACCAAAACAAAACAATCATTGGTATTTGATTGCGATTCTATTCAAACAATTCATTGTTTTGGGATAAATTGGCATCTTCTCTTCTCATCTATGTATGTGACATGTCTCTCCATTTATTTAGGTTTATGTATTTCTCCATTGAGAAATTTCTCCATTGACTTTTTAAATTTTTCTTCATAGATCCCACACATTTCTTGTTAGGGTAATTAGTAGATATTTTATAGTTGTTTGTAATTAATGTGAGTATATTCTTTTTTCCTTCTTTTAGGAATATAACCAGCAATTTCTGATCTATAAGGAAATTGATTTTTAAAAAATGGTAGCGGGGCTGGCTCTGTGGCCGAGTGGTTAAGTTTGTGTTCTGCTGCGGCGGCCCAGGGTTCGGATCCTGGGCGCGGACATGGCACTGCTTGTCAGGCCATGTTGAGGCGGCGGCCCACATCCCACAACTAGAAGGACCTGCAACTAAGATATACAGCTATGTACCGGGGGGGTTGGGGAAATAAAGCATAAAAAAAAAAAAAAGATTGGCAACAGTTGTTAGCCCAGGTGACAATCTTTAAAAAAAAAAAAAAAGGTAGCTACTAGATTTTGGACACCTTTTATGTACCAGGTATTTATTTTTTAAATTTTTTTTAAATTTAAAGATCGGCACCTGAGCTAACATCTGTTGCCAATCTTCTTTTTTTTCCCTTCCTCTCCCAAAGCCCCCCAGTACATGGTTGTATATTCTGGTTGCAGATCCCTCTAGTTCTGCGATGTGGGATGCTGCCTCAGTATGGCTTGATGAGCGGTGCCAGGTCTACACCCAGGATCTGAACTGGCAAAACCCCGGGCCGCCAAAGTGGAGGGCACGAACTTAACCACTCAGCCTTGGGGCCGGCCCCTGCATTTATTATTTTTTAAATAAAATAAGGCTTATAATGAAAAACAGTAGTCCTCTGCTCTATCGCTCACCACCCAGGCCATCAATTCCAGTCCATTTACCTGTTTCTTCATAGTCTTAATAATATGCATATATAGCTATTTCTTGATTTTTTTCCACATTCATATAGTTATTTATTGACTTCCAACTCTGTAATATGACAATGTAGCTCTCTTTCAACTTCTTCCCAAGCCACAAAGAAACACACACACGTAGTAGCCACATGCAAACATATGCATACATTACATGTGCTGTTCTCCTTTTCCATCATTTTAGTATAGTGGTAGCACAATTGTTAGTTCAATAAATATCGTACTTACATTATTACAGTGATGACAATTCCTTTCCTTTAAAACATGATTTTTTCCCCCTAGATTTAATAATGATTTCATTTTTTTAGTTTGCTTATTATTATTATTATTTTACTGTTTCTCTCACACATCTCTAAACTTCCTACCAGAGGTGTAAAATCTCCTTTCAGTATGTTTGGATACATCAATATCATCTATCAATTTCATATTTTTCTTGGAGATATCTCTTCTGGAACCTTCTGTACACCTCCACAATCTGGACTAGCTGCTTCTAGGCCATTGTATACTTGTCATTCTGGAGCTTCCCTTCACTATCATTCTGTGGCTCCTCCTTGTCTCTCTCCTGAATTGGACTAACTGTTTCCTGGATACCTGTCTTTCTCTTTCCAGATTTACTCTCTCATTTTGGAGGAGCTCATCCTCCATTAGCTTTTGAAAAAGAAAGCATGAAAAGTAGATTACTGAGAATTTGTAAGTGTGAAAATATTATTCTACCCTCACACTTGGTTGATAATTTCACTGGGTATAGAAGTTGAGGTTTAAATTATTTCCCTTCAGAATTTTGAAGGCATTGCTTAATTATCTTGGAGCTTTCAGTGTTCCTGGTGAAAAGCCCAGTGCCATTCTGATTCCCAGTCCTTAGCATGTGACATGCTTGTTCTCTCTGAAAGCATGTGGATCTTCCCTTTACTTCTGGTGTTCTGAAATTTCAGTGTTATGCCTTGGACAAGTCTTTTTGCCTTTGCTGGTATCCTATAATCTAGAAATTTGTGTTCTAGAAATTTATTGTATTTTTTTGTTATTATTGTAACTTCTCCCTCTTGTCTCTTCTCACTTTTAGGACCTCTTGTCTTTGGCTGTTCAACCTCCTAGACTAATTCTCTCTTTTTCCTAATCTTTTCTATTTTACTTTTCTTTGTCTTGTTGTTCCAGTATGTACAAGATTTTCTTAACTTTAACTTCCAGACATTTTATTGAATTTCTAGGTTTGCCCCCCACCTCATTCTTTGACTATTCCTTTCTTAAACTACCCTGTCCTTGTTTTGTGGAGCTTTCTTCTCCTCCCTGCATTGTCTCTGTTTCCTTTGACCTTATTTTTCTCTTTGTTTGTCTTGATCTCTGTGTTCCATGTTAAAGGATTCCCTCAAATGATCACCCCTTCCCTCAGCTGTGCCCAGCATCCCTGAGTTCATAGCTCTCCTGAGAGAAAACCTCCACCTTCTGCTGTGGTGAAGAGTGGGAGTTGAAGGCTACATGGGAAGAATGTGTGGCGTTGTGGCCCAAAAGGGTCTGTATGTAGGTTTTTCAATGACTCCTCCAGTTTTCTCCCTTTCACGGGTACAGTTCCTAAACCTTTTGTAGTTCTCTGGTGTGATTTGGCTTAGGTCTTTTTAATTTCTTTGCCTCTATCTGCTCCCCCCCCCCATCATAGACACTGAGCTTTCGGATTTCTCCATATTTAATCAGTCACCACTCATCAATCTGCCTTTCAGCTTCTAAAATTTTATTGACCTCTTCATCTCCTGTGGTCTTCTCTTGTGCTTTTAGGCATTTTAAGCTTATTTTTTGTGGGGTTTCAAGAAAGGAGGGAGATTCACACATATTTAACTTAAGCTTTCTGCCATATTTAAGTGAACCTGGGCAAAATTTAATTGATTTTTGATTCTTTACTAAAATCTCATTAGTCAAGAGTTTTCAATTGATGCTTTGTTTTTCTTAGGTACACATTTGTTCTCTATAAATAATTACAATTTAATACCCTTCTATACAATAGATAGATCACCTTTTTCCTTTTACATCTTATTGTGCTGTTCAGTTGTGGCCCACAAGATATGTTTCAAATGCTTAACACATACACAAATAGCACACACACCTTTGCCATTCTGAATGTCTAGAATGGCATAAATATTCTGCCATTTTTCTTAGCTAGTAGGCTTTGTAAACAGAGAAACAGCCCTGATTTTTAGTTCAAAGAGTTACAGGAACATTACTGAGCACTCTTCTCTCGGACTTCTTTCTTATTTGGATTATATGTGAAACTTCACCTCTCTGGTATCTTCCTAGTTGCTAACTGTAGCTTCACAAGGAGACTTACCATGGCCATGCTATTTAAAATTGTAAAACACCCCCTCTCCCTCACATCCCAATCCTCCCCTGTTTTTTCCCTAGCACTTATCATCAGCTACCATATTAGATAATTTGCTTATTATTTTTCATGATTTTTCACTGTATAGTCCCACTAGAATGGATATTCCATGAGAGCAAGGATCTTTGTCTGCTTTGTTCACTGGATTTTCCTAGGTACTTAGAACAGTGCCTGACATATAGTAGGACTTTATAAATATTTACTGAGTGAATAATGCATGCATGAATACTGCAGCTGCAGTTGGCAGTTCCTGACTTTTCCTGTTGCTTGAAGTCCAGTCAATAGCCAACTTTACTACTTGGTTTCTAGGGGTACACTGTAGTGTGTGTGTATGGAGGGGGACAGATGTACACAATATTATGTATATTAAATACATGATAGATTATCTAGAGTTGTAAGTGTCAAAGAAGAAACAAAGCAGGGGAGGAGGACAAAAAATATTGGGGGGAGAAAGGTTGAAATTTTAGATGGGAGGGGGGAGGTCAGGGAAAAGATGAATTTACAGTGAGGACTTGAAGTAAGTGAGGGTGCAAACCAAGTGGTTATCTGGGGGAAGAACATTCCAGGCTGAGGGAATGGCCAGTACAAAGACACTGAAGTAAGATCATGTCTGATGTCTTCAAAGGGAAAGCAAGTGGTCGAGTGTGGCTGGATCACAGAGAACGTGGGGGAGAGCAGTAGGAAATACAGCCAGAGAGGTGAGTGGAGGGGAGGTGGCCAAATCACGTATGGACTCAATGATCATAAAGCTGACTTCGGTTTTACCCTGAGTGAAATGGAAATGCACTGAAAGGTTCTGAAGAGAGGAGGGACATGAACTGACTTTGTTTAACATTCTCATTCTTGTTGCTGTGTTGAGAATAGACTGCAGAGGAGCAACAGCAGAAGTAGTGACACCAGTTAGTGAGCCGCCATAATAATCTGGGTGAGAGAGAATGGTGACTTGGACCAGAGTGGCAACAGTGGGGGTGGTCAGAAAGATTGTATTCCAGAAATACTCTGAAGGTAAAGCCAGTAGGATTTGCCAAAGGACAGAGTGAAGGTGTAAAAGAAATACAGAAATATAAGATAGCATTATGGGTTTTGGTTTGAGAAACTGGAACAATGAAGTTAGCATTAACCAAGATGAGGAAGAAAGAGAGAAAAAGATTGAGTGAGAAGGTCAGGAATGTGGTTTAAGACATGTTAGTCTGAGATGCCTATCAGTCATGTCAAGTACAGAGTTGGACATTGAGCCTGGAGGTAAAGGGAGAAGGGCAGTCTGAAGATATAAATCTGAGAGTCATAGCTTACTGATGGACTTTAACACCATATAATTAGGTGTGATCACCTATGGAGTGAATGCAGATAGACAGGAAAGAAGTCCAAGGACTGAGCCTGGGGCATCATCAAATATTTAGAGGCTAAGATGATGAAATGAATCTTCCAAATAGACCGAGATGGAAAGATCAGCAGTGTAGGAGGAAAACTAGTGAATGTGGTGTCCTAGAAGCCAAATGGAGAAACTTTTTCTGAGGAAAGAGAGATAACCAAATGTATCAAATGCTGGTAACAAGGCCTTTAAGATAACCATTGAGAAATGACCTTTCGGGTTAGCAATATGGGATTCTATGAGTTGAACTGTGCCCCCCCAAAAAGATCTGTTGGACTCCTAACTCTCCATACCTCAGAATTTCCTTTTTTGGAAACAGAGTCTTTACAGATATAATCAAGTTAAAATGAGATCATTAGAGTAAATTCCAATCCAATATGACTGGTGTCCTTATAAAAAGAGGAAATTTGGATATAGAGAGACAAGTATACAGGGAGAACCCCATATGAAGATTGGCGTTTAGCTGCCTCAAGTCAAGGAACAACCAGAAGCTAAGAGAGAGGCCTCCTCTAGTGCCTTCAGAGGGAGCAGGGCCCTGCTGACACCTTGACTTTGGAATTCTAGGCTCCAGAACTGGGAGACAATACATTTCTGTTGTTTAAACCACTCAATCTGTGCTACTTCGTCACTGCAGCCCCAGCAAACTAATATACGGAGGTTATTGGTGATCATGAGAAGAGAAGTTACAATGGAATAATAAGGCCCTAATTGAAGTGGGATCCAGAGAGAATAAAAGGGGGAAAATTGAACACAGTGGGTAGAGTCAAGTCATTTAAGGAGTTTTCCTATAAAGGGAAGGAGAGAAATAGGGTGGAGGGTGGAAAAGCAAATGGCCTGAAAGAAGGTTTTTTTTTTAAATGGGAGAAATAATAGTATGTCTAATGCTCATGGGAATGATTCATTAGAAGAGGAAAACTTGATCTTGCAGGAGAGAGGGGGGGACAATCTCTGGAGCTATGTCCTTGATTAGGCGAAAGAGAGTGGGATCTGATGCAGAGATGGAGATATTTATTGCCTTTGGTTGGACAAGAGGATAGGTCCTTCATGAGACACAGGAGAGAATGAGTAACAGGAGTGGGGCACACAAGCACAAGTGCAGGGAGATGACAGTCTCTTCTTATCCTCCAATTCCTCAATGAAGTAGGAAGCAAAGTCGTCAACTGAGATGAGGATATGGGAGGAGGTGTGGGAAGTTGGCAGAGACAGGAGAAAATGAAATGGCAATCCAGGAGTGTGGGAGAGAAAAGAAACTGGTCATAGTAGGTGATTCTTTTCATATACTATTGAACCTGATTTGCTACTCTTTCATTTAGAATTTACTCATCTAATTTATAACAAAAATTGGCCTAATAATTTTATTTTTCAGGGTTTTTGTGTCAAGATCTGGTGTTGATAAAAACAGAGACAATAACAACTACCATTACTGAGCACCTGTCATGTACCAGGCCCTGGCTAAAGCATTTCTTCCAATTAGCGCATTTAATCCTCGTAGCACCAAGGACGTAATGGATTGCCCCCATTTAGCAGATGAGGAAATTGAAGCTGGGGCTGAGGGCACAGTAAAGTGACATGGCCAAAGGTGTACAGCTAGTAAGCAGAGTTGGGATTCAAACCAAGGTCTGTAACTTCAGAATCAATACTTTTAACCAGCAATTTATGCTAACTTTATAAACTAGCTTGTCGTCTTGCTCTAAGTTCTGGAACATATCATATAAAAATAAGGATTATCTGTTCTTTGAAAGTCGCAAAAAACTCACCAGGAAAACCATCAGTTATAAAAATGCAATATTTAAAGTGGAAAAAATAAAGAGAAAATGGCTTCTTGATAAGTGGACTCACTTCCACTCACATGTGGCTGTTTCTACTTAAAACCATGAAGCCTTCAATTTAATAAATACGCTTAAGAAAGCATGTCAGCCATTTCTCTGTCAACCTGTCTCTCCCCATGTTCTATACGTCTCCTATCATTTCTGCTTCCAAAAATATCGTGGAAATGTCCTCTTTCTTTCCATAGCCCTCGCCCTAGGCTAGGCTGCCATCACGTTAGTGTGGGTGACTGCAATACCTTTCAAGAGTGGTTCGTCTCCGCTTTCTTTCTCGTGCCACTTGTATTCACGCTGTACACAGCAGCCAGAGGGATTTATCGTCAAAGTGTTCTGCGTATTTACTGCTTTACAACAGAATGCTGCCCAGCATAGGAAATAATTGCCAATATTCAGCTGTACAAAGTAATGCATGGTGCTTAACTATAAATGGGAAACATAATTTTTGAAAAATAAACATAATATAGGATCCTACAAAAAGGCTTTATGCCGAGTGGCTTTTAATTTGCTTAGGCTGATCTTTCTCCTTTATAAGTCTTCCATGGAATGTGATTATTTTCCCAAACAACTACCCTCAACGCCAAAACTAAAATTTAATATATGGAATCTTTAATTCCTGTGGTTCTTTAATGGATCACAACAGGCCCCATTTTCTAGTGCTTTCCCTGGCAGAGGAGGATGAGATAAGCACATCATGAACACCTTAACATATTTGTTCTTACTAATCTTTTCTCTTTAGAGCCTAGCACAGTGAGTGACCTATATTAAATGCTCAATAAATATCCACTGAACATGAGTAAGTGAATACAACACTGGTATTGAGTAGGAATAATCTAAAATTCTCTAAGTGATAAACTAGAGGCTTCAATAGAGTGTTTTCGTATTAAATTATGTAATCATAGATTTTCTTAAAATGTGATTTTTGACTTTTTCTCTAAGTTGCTGATTTTCTTTTTCATTCTTGACAGCTGATTTGAAATACTTTTCACTCATCATGCATTGTCTCTTTCATCTAAAAATGTCAATTTTCTCCAAGTTTACCTTGAAGCATGACCAAAGACTGTCGAAGTCGACTGTTTTCTTTCCGGGTGTTAGTTAGCTTTTGTTTCAGGCTTTTTATTTTCGTGCACAATTCCTCCTTCGACAATTCTGCTAAAGGCTCTTCATCGTCACTGGAGCTCTCACCTGGCAGAAAGGCATTTCCAGAATACGGGTCTCTCTAAAATACAAGAAAGGCACAATAAAAGAAGCTTCAAAGCGACTTTAATGGTTTACCCCATGTTCTGTATGTTGAAGGGACTTAATCAGACCTACAAATTCTTGCTCTCCCAGGCACTTCCTGCTCCAGGAGAGGAGCTGGGTCCTAACTAGTGATCTAGCCTCAGCTTTGTCTTCCGCTACCCAGGGGAGCTCGGAATAAGGGAAGACATCAAAGTTTCATGCTCACGTCTCTTGTGAAGTGGAAATCAGGATTCTGACTTTCTGCCCAACTTCAGTGAAAAAGATAAAGTAGAAAAATAGTATAACAGAGTAGAATCAACCAGACCCCCATTCAAATCTTTGTAAGTCATTCTCACCCTCCATTTCTCCCCTAAATCCTCATTCACAGCCTCTCTATTGAGACTATGCCATGAGGCCAATTTTGGGGTTTATTGTGGGAGAGAAAGCAGAGAGAAGATTCACCTAGAACAAAGCATTCATGATTACCTTTTAATTTTAAAAATCATTTTTAAGGCCAATAGCAAGACAATAGTCTGAAAACATATGCATTTGAGATGTAAAATCCAGGCTGTGTTGAGACAGAAAAGAATTTTCTCAAATTAACAAGCTGGCCTTTGTATGTGTATATAAATCCAAATCTGGGAAATTGGAGCATAGAATAGAATTTATAAAGATCTAAACCTAGAAACCTGGAATATAAAGTTTTTGAAAATAAACCTTAGAGTAGAAGAGATAAAGTCATGACATAAAGAAAGATTCTACTATACAAGAGGGAAAAGACGTTCTGGTTCCAGGAGGAGGAGCCTGAGGAATGAGGAAGTCAGGTTCAAGTGTCTTTGCTCTTCCTGCCCCCATGTTTTGGAGTAAGGGAGATGGACCACAGGGTGGGGGGTCTATGAGAGAAACACCCAGATAAATGGGGGGCGATCCCAGAGCAGCAAAGCTCTCTCCTTGCTTCTCAGTGCATTATTAACTCCCTAAACAGGCCCCATGTCCAGCATAACGTCAGGGCAACATGGTACCTCTCTGGGCCATAACTCAGAAATGGCCAAAATTGCAGTCTAGACAAATGGACCAGAAACAGCATCCAGACCCCTCCAAGCTCATGCAAAGCAGCTAGAGAATCCAAACAGTCCCTGTGTCCTGGTCAGAAGATAGGTCAGTGCTGAGGGGACTGAGGAAACAAATAGTTTAGTACGTAGACAGAGGCCACAGGGTGTCAGAACCATACAGAAGGTGGCAGTGGGTGCAGGGTTGCAAACTTTAGCAGCCGGTGCCAATAGAACCCCCAAGGGATCTGGAAGGATGGGCAGTATGTCAACAGTAACACTACTGGACACCTAGGAACCAGGCAGGAAAGTTAGAACCTCACAAAGGACCGGCTGCCCCTCCCCAGATGCTGGGAGGCTATGGAAGACTCCTGAAACCTGGGTCACTTCCCAGAAAAAAATAGAAAGTTGGGGAGGGTAAGAATCTAGGATCCACTGAGGCTTAAATCCTGAAGTGACTGAAATTATACTAATAGCTCGAAGGGACTTTTAAGAACTAGGACACTCTAACTGTAATTCACTGTGAATGGACAAGGTTATGCCTTTTTTTTCCCCTGTCTTATCAAGAAGGGATGGAGAATTGAAAGTCAGATGAGATCAGTTATAGAAAATACAATTACATTTTTATACGATTTGTAATGTATATATTCAACCTGACTCTTTATAAATATACAAATAGATGTATCTGTGTGTACATTTCATTATTATATCTATGTGTGTATGTGACAAATATACATAATGGTCATGAAAATTACTATTATCATATGGGGGCAAGTAGCTAAAGTATTCATATTAGATATATAATCCCTAAAGAAAAAAATGATAGGTTTGATTAAATAGAAATGAAGGATTTAAAAAAAACGGAAGGATGCCTATTGAGACCATAGTTCTATGGAGAGTAATCGGAAAAAAATAGAGTGTATAGTCTAGTTCTTGCCACTTTTAACAAGTTCTACAAGACATAAATGAAATTAAGCAAAAGCTAATCCATTTGTAAGCCTCAATGGAAGACAGAGTTAATAGACAAACATCAGCTTGGGCGAAGATATTTGCAAAATCTAAAACCACAAGACTAATTTCTAAAATAGATAAGGTATTTGTGCAAATCAATAAAAATAGAACAGGAAACCCACCAGAATAGACTAAGAAACCCAACAGAAAAGATAAGAACCCAAAAGAAAAATGGACAGTGCAGAGACTGCTAGCTATCTCCAGGTGTTTGCTCTCCCATTCTTCTGCAGTAATACGTTTTAGCTGGGCAGGCAGCTGTCAGCTAAAGATTACAATTCCCAGATTCCCTTGCAGCTCAGTGTGGCTATGTGACTAAGTGTCTGCCAATAGACTATGAGTAGAAGTGATATGTACCACTACTGGATCATGACCTTAAAAGGAATGGGCGTGCCTTCTCCTGCATATATTCTCCTTTTTTCTGTTGGCAGAGAAGAAGGCACAATGGTGGGAGCAGGAGTGGTCATCTTAGACCCAGAGATAGAGGCTGTGTGTTGAGGAAGGTAGATCAACAAGATAAGAGCAATCCTGGGAGCAGCCCCATGGTCAAGCAGTTAGGCTCACGTGCTCCACTGCGGCGGCCCAGGGTTCTGCTGGTTCAGATCCTGGGCGCAGACATAGCACCACGCATCAGGCCATACTGAGGTGGCGTCCCACATAGCACAACCAGAAGGACCTACGCCTAGAATATACAACTATGTACTGGGGGCTTTGGGGAGAAGAATAAGATAAGGAAAAAAAAGAGGGATCCTCCACACTGAGGAGCTGCCATAGCAACCCTGGGTTGCTCTTGCAGTTATGTGAAAGGGAAATAAACTTCCATCTTATCTAAGCCACTGTTCTATTTAGGTCTTTTTTACAGCTTTTGCAACATTCATGATAACTAATGCAGATTTTGTCACTAGGAGCAGGATCCCCCACACCTGACATTTGTTTGGGTTACTTAGAGGACAGGCTGTGGGCAGAAGAGCACAAGGACAACATGCTGGAAAGCCACTGACTCCTGTTAGACCTTGGTGACACATTTGTTAAAACTGTCACATGGAAGGCAGACCATGTGCTTACTGAGCCTGGAAAAAGAAAGAATGTTGGTGTGTATCAGTGACTTCTTCTCGGGGCTAGCCAGATTGCAGAGATGGAAGGTTTTCTCTTTCCGTCTGCATTTAGAATGCAGCCTGCAATCTAAGTTGACTGAGCGTGCAGTAACGTTAAATCTTCAAGGTTCCAAAAAGCCAATTATGTACTTCTACATCTAAATAGCAGGAGGTAAGACTGACCTCAAGCTTTCTCAAGAGCTTCTCTTTAAGTGTTCTCTGCCAGACGCTGAGATCTAGCCCAGTGGTAAGCATCAGACTGAGTGTGTTACCCTCAAGCCTTTTGTTTCATATGGCCATTAGGTAAGTTGGGGAGAAAAGAGGCTGAGCACAGATGCCACATTAAAAAGAGGAGAGCTTTCAGGCTTCTTTGCGACCAAATAAGATTGCTGGCTGTAGTGACTTGCAATGGAACCAAATAGGAATAAATAATTTGGAAAGCTATTATGTTTTTGAGGAAAACAAATTGCTAAAGAAATCAATAGTGGCCTGCAAGAGCACATGACTATTTTACTCCTTTAAGAACCACTGGGCCCCCCAAACCTGCACCAGCAAATTGAAAGAAGATATTTTCTCCCATCAATTGCCAAAAATATGAGCTATGGATAAAAATGCTAAGTATTGCTAGGGAAGCACAAATATAGGAACCCCGGAACCCCTCCTGCAGTGCTCCTGGGCATTTAGACCAATGTGGACATTCTGGAAAGCAATCTTATAGTATTTAGGCAAAAGAACTAGCAAGAAACATATAACTTATAAGCCATAAATCACCCTCCTATGTGTTTATTCCAGGGAAATTCTCACACTGTTTCTTAAAAGGACATGCATGAGGATATTTATTTTGTCATTATTTGTAGTAGCAAGATGCTGGTGTTCATCACTGGAGGAGAGGATAAGTAAAATATGGTGCTATGTGGGAGTTAGACACAATGGATCAGATGTATAATAGCAATATAGATAGATGCTGACTGAAAAATCAGAAACAGATTGAGGTGTATATTATGATACCAACATACTACTAACTGATGTCTCCATAAAGTTTTACAGTGCAGTGTGATCTGTGAAAAGAAAAAGATTGGAAACAAGCCACATCCATCACAGGGGACTAGTTAAATAAAGAATGGTACTTGCACACAGTGGAATAATATGCAGCTGTAAAAAAGAGAAAGTTCTTGCATACTAGTGGAAAGATCGTCAAAATATGTTAAGAAAAAAGCAAAGTACAAAGGAACATATCTGGTAAGTGACTTTTCATACAAAAAGGGGATAAGAATATCTATATTTGCATTTGCTTTATTTGAACAAAGAAACAATGGAAGGATAAATAAGAAAGCAATAAGTATGGTTCCCTGTAGTAGGAGGGTGGGAGGTGGGAACAGGGTGGATGTGAGACAGGGATGAGAGTGGGACTTTTCACTGTTTGCCTTAAAAAATATATCTATCTATCTATATATCTATGTATATATCTATATAGCAGCCTTTGACTTTTTTATTATGCAAAAAAGCTTCATTTTTACATTTAGCTTTCTGATTCTGTGCTTGTGCCTTCAACACTGTCACAATGATATCTGCTCCTCAATAAGGAGCATGCTTGGTCCTGTCATGGACACGTTTAGCACACATGGAATGTGGGCACTGCTGACATGTTTTTTGTTTTAGATAACCTCATAAGAATTTTAGGTCTCAGGGATGAACTCCTTAAAGTTGGCCTGAGCACACTCCACACGCAGATTTTGGTGCTTCCCCAGCTTTCTTGGTATAAAGGTATAAAATAATTCTACTACTAGGGGTCCAAAATAGCCTAGTTTTGTTAGAGGCCATATTGTTGGCTAGCCTGCAACAGACTGCCAAATGCTGGACCATTCTGAATGCCTCTAGGCACCGTCCCCAGGAGACTAAAAAGTATTTTAAACCGTGAGAATGTACATATTATTTCAAAAATTAAATAGGAATGCATGCCCATAAAATACTACATCTGTTACAAAGACACACAAATAAAAAGATACAGAATAAACACATTGATAGGTTGTCCAAAGTGTAGGAGGAGAATGGGAGAGGGGAATTCAGATCAAAAAGGAATGAATGAATAAATAAAAATAGGAAAGAGGCCATTGACCAAACCAGTGATGAGGATGGGCCATCAACTGGAGTAAAAAGAAAAGCAAACAGAAAATCTTAAAGAGGTATTCCAATGTCTCCGGTATTTTTTGAGAGGAAAAAATATTTTCTGACAGTTTTCTCACCTTTTATTTCCCAGAATATCAAGGAAAGTTTGAACAATGGCATAATAGGCCATACTTAAATAGAAGCAGGTAAAATGTCTTTTGAGTATGTTTCTAACTCAACTTGTTCAACATTAAAAAAAGACTATGGAATTTTATTCCCTCAGTTGAATAAATAATTAAAGGGAAGAATAAATTAATAGAAGAGGGGAAAGTACTAATAAATTATGAAAGGAATTATGGAATTATGGAGGACCTAGATCATAAAATTATATCAAGGTAACAGAACACCCACCTGTCCTTTATCCATGTCACAATTTGCGTTCTCTGAGTCCATTGTCTCCGTCCTTTTCCTCTTCCCTTTTCTAAGAGCTTGGGTATCAGTAATTTCATCTGTCTGCAAGATCTTCTGCATTTTCTCAGTTAGTCACCAAAGGTTTTCTGAAACTGTAGGAGGAGGGAATGCCCATGTAGATGATGCTATTCTGGACGTAGCCTAAAAGTTAATGTTTTTCCTTATAAAACAAAAACAAACAAAAAATGGGATATACAGTGTAGTTCCAACTGTAGGTTACATAATGGCACTAACCACTCAAGTAAATCACTTTTACTAAACCTTCGTATCATTCTTTCTCCCACTGACCAACTTAGTACACATTTTCACTTGATTCAAAAAGTCTTTCAATTTCATCATCATCACAAGCGTGTCATGTTTCTAGCATGTGATATACAGTGAGTTGTCACTTATAAAATCAAATATTGTAAAATGTTTCCGTCTTCATAATTTTTTTCTTGTCAGTTATGAGAAGTCTAAAAAACAAAGTAGAAACATTATAAATTTATGCAAACAGTATTTCAGAGGACTGAAGTTATATATCTTTAGGAAAAAGACACTAATAATAGTAGATCTCATCAGGAACAAAATATTCCAAGGGAGATCAATAAGAACTGCTTAAAAGTTTCTTTTTTTCTAAAAACTCTAAAGTTTTGGGATGGAAGATTTTCCTTGGTGTAAACTTAAGAATTGTACCATAAAGAATGGAAAAAAAAAATTGAAAGGCAGTAACATTTCGTAAAAATTTTAAGGGACAATCATTTTTCAAAACCTGATAAAGCAGATGATAGTTCTTGGGTAGAATAGTGTTGAAATGATCAAATCTAACTTTTGCTAGGTACAGATGACACAGCGCATTTGGTCTTAGCATCCTTATTACTTGCATATATTGGTTTGTTTTCATAAAAAGATATTTAATTATAAATAGTAAAACTTTAACTACAGAAGGGAATGAGCTTAAAGGGACTTCAACAAATATATGGACTGTTGAGCAGAAGGTAACATATGTTTCTTAGCAAATTACACTAAGTTGCTTTCTAAATTGCTTTAGAAAATATGGTTCTTTTACTTGTTTTAAGAAAAACTCATATTCTCTACTCCAAGCATAACATGATATTTGGGATGGTTTTGCCAAAATTGCTTAATCAACTCTTTGAAAATTTACTTTAGGTTTTCAAATACATGAATAGTACTTGAGCTAACATCTGGGACTGGACTGCCTATCTGACCCATAAGTGTCAGAGATCTTACCTAGAACCAAGCTTTATTAATAATTTCAAAGATACGAGCAATCAAGAGGCACAGGCAGAGTAGGGAGAGGTCTAGGACATCCTGCTTGCTTTGGGGGTCCTTCCTTCTGTGGAAATTAGTAAAAGAAACCTTAACTAAAGAGGAGTGGGGAAGGCCTGTAGGAGGAGCTCTCATGCCCTATCATAGGATGTCAATGACACCAAACAGGAAGAGACCAGGTGCTTGCATCTTCCACAGGAAGTAAAATTACTTTACTACTAAAGGAAGATTTCCCTCCCCACCCAGCCAATGAGAAATGCCACAGCTCAGCCAATGAGAAGCCATTGCCACCCTGAACTGTTATTCTCCCTCAATGCACTTTGGTTTAGAACATCCCCTCCCTATTCCCCAGTTTTCTCTATATAAGCAGCTCTCCTCCTTTGTTTTCTGGATTTTCCTATGGTTTGCGGTAGCATGCACATCCCAAATTGCAATTCTTTTGGCAATTCCCGAATAAACTTGTTTTGAGGATAACATACCAAGCGAATTTATTTTTTAAGTTGGCACTTCTCACATCGTATAGGTACTCCATGGTCTAGAATAATAGCTGAGGCCTCTAAATGAAGTTTGAGGGTCACTTCACACAGTGAGGCGTGTTTAAGTTGTGACACATCTCCATTTTATACCTCAGAGTTGTATAGGTTGCATAACCTTCTCCAAGGAGTTATAAATCCGTAGATTCTAGGTATGTTTGTCAAAAGCAACCCTAAATCAGGGATATACAATTAAGAGCACTCCACAGATTAAAAACTCCACTCCTAGCAAATATAATTAGTCTACTTACTCAGAGCAAGGTCGACAAACATTTTCTGTAAAGAGTCAGATAGTAAATATTTTAGGCTTTGTAAGCCAAGAAGCAAAATTGAGGATATTATGTAGGTACTTATACAGCTAGAGGGAAAATAAATTTTCCCAATTTTTAAAAAAATTTTACTGGTTTCTTTTTTAAATTTTGTATTATTTTTTTAATTGCAGTAACATTGGATTATAACATTATATAGCTTTCAGATGTACATCCTAATATATTTCAAATTCTGTGTAGATTACATCATGTTCACCACCCAAAAACTAATTATAGTCCATCCCCTCACATGTGAGCCTAATCACCCCTTTTGCCCTCCCCCGCCCTTCCCCTATGGTAACCACCAATCCAATCTCCATTGCTATGTGTTTGTCGTTGTTTTTATCTTCTACTTATGAGTGAGATCATACAGTATTTGCCTTTCTCCCTCTGACTTATTTCACTCAGCATGATACCCTCAAGGACCATTCATGTTGTCACAAATGGTCGGATTTCATCATTTCTTATGGCTGAGTAGTATTCCATTGTGTGTATATACCACATCTTCTTTATCCATTTGTCCCTTGATGGGCACCTAGTTTGCTTCCAAGTCTTGGCTATTGTGTATAACGCTGCAATGAACATAGGGCTGCAAGTATCTTTATGCCTTTGTGTTTTCAAGTTCTTTGGATAAATACCAAGCGGTGGGATAGCTGGATCATATGGTAGATCTATTCTTAATTTTCTGAGGATACTCCATACTTCTTTCCATAGTGGTACACCAGTTTGCACTCCCACCAGCAGTGTATGAGGGTTCCCTTCTCTCCACATCCTCTCCAACACTTGTTGTTTCCTGTCTCGTTAATTATAGCCATTGTGACCGGAGTGAGGTGATACCTCATTGTAGTTTTGATTTGCATTTTCCTGATGGCTAATGATGTTGAGCATCTTTTCATATGCCTGTTGGCCATCCGTATATCTTCTCTGGAGAAATCTCTGTTCAGATCTTTTGCCCATTTTTTAATTGGATGTTGGTTTTTTTGTTGTTGGGATGTATGAGTTCTTTGTATATTTTGGATATTAATCCCTTATCTGATATGTGGTTTGCAAATATCTTCTCCCAATTGTTAGGTTGTCTTTTTGTTTTGTTGATGGTTTCCTTTGCTGTGCAGAAGCTTTTTAGTTTGATGTAGTCCCATTTGTTCATTTTCTCGTTTGTTTCCCTTGCCTGGTCAGACATGGGACTTGAAAATATGCTGCTAAGACCCATGTCAAAGAGCACACTGCCTATGTTTTCTTCTAGAAGTTTCATGGTTTTAGGTCTCACATTCAAGTCTTTAATCCATTTTGAGTTGATTTTTGTGCATGGTGTAAGGGAATGGTCTACTTTCATTCTTTTGCATGTGGCTGTCCAGTTTTCCCAACACCATTTATTGAAGAGACTCTCCTTTCTCCACTGTGTGCTCTTGGCTCCCTTGTCAAATATTAGCTGTCTATAAATGTGTGGGTTTATTTCTGGGCTCTCGATTCTGTTCCATTGATCTGTGTGTCTGTTTTTATGCCAGTACCTGCTGTTTTGGTTACTATGGCTTTGTAGTATATTTTGAAATCAGGGAGTGTGATACCTCAGCTTTGTTCTTTTTTCTTAGGAATCCTTTGGCTATTTGGGGTCTTTTGTTTTTCCATATACATTTTAGGATTCTTTGTTCTATTTCTGTGAAAAATGTTGCTGGAACTTTGATAGGGATTGCGTTGAATCTATAGATTGCTTTAGGAAGTATGGACATTTTATTGATGTTGATTCTTCCAATCCAAGAGCATGGAATATCTTTCCATTTCTTTGCATCTTCTTCGATTTCTTTCAACAATGTTTTATGGTTTCAGTGTACAGATCTTTCACCTCTTTGGTTAAGTTTATTCCTAGGTATTTTATTCTTTTTGTTGCAATTGTAAATGGGATTGTATTCTTAATTTCTTGTTCTTCTACTTCATTGTTAGTGTATAGAAACGCAACCGATTTTTGTATGTTGATTCTGTATCCTGCAACTTGACTGTATTCATTTATTGTTTCTAGAAGTTTTTTAGTGGATTCTTTAGGGTTTTCTATATATAAAGTCATGTCATCTGCAAAGAGTGACAGTTTCACTTCTTCTTTTCCAGTATGGATCCGTTTTATTTCTTTTTCTTGCCTGATTGCTCTGGCTAGGACTTCCAATACTATGTTAAATAAGAGTGGTGACAGTGGGCATCCTTGTCTGGTTCCTGTTCTTAGGGGGATAGCTTTCAGTTTTTGTCTGTTGAGAATGATATTTGCTGTGGGTTTGTCCTATATGGCCTTTATTATGTTGAGGTATTTTCCCTCTATACCCATTATATTCAGAGTTTTTATTATAAATGGATGCTGTATCTTGTCAAATGTTTTTTCTGCATCTATTGAGATGATCATGTGATTTATTCTTCATTTCGTTAATGTGGTATATCACGTTGATAGATTTGTGGATGTTGAACCATCCCTGCATCTTTCCCCAAATTTTTATTCATAAAATCGAAAATATACTAAGAATAATTGAGTACAGTTTTTTGTAAGACAGATCTATGATTGAGAATGGAATTAAAAACAAAATAACATCTTGTTTACTTGGGGTTCAAAGTATTCCCTACCATCAAAATCAATTGCAAATGCTCATTGTTAATGGTAACCTGCAATAAGATTTTACATATTTCATCTCTGAAAATGTCTTTCATCTGAGAGGTAGTTTCATATACTGATATTAATCCACGAGCTTATAATTTTCTTAATTGAGAAAAATTCACATAACATAAAAATCACCATTTTAACCAAGTGTACGTTCAGTGGCTTTTTAGTATATTCACAATATCATACAACCATTACTAAGAAAGTCCATACCTCCCAATATGAGCTTATAATTTTAATTGACATATTCATCTCTTAGTAGAGTTTTATAGAATTCTGTTAAATTCTTTTGATATTGTCTTTTAGTGAGTCATTATATTGCAGATTAATTACTTCCAATTAAAGTTAGGTGGAAGCTCTTCAATTGCACAGTTAAGTGTATTTCGAAATATGGAAATTTCTTTTGCATTTGCAT